TATCTAGTGCGAATGCATCCATTATAAAACATGGGAAGGAACTCCACCGCGCACGATTGAGACTATAAAGGACCGCGATGCGACGGGACCGCGACTGCCTAATACGTTCTCGCCTTTATTGTAACTAACTAAAGCACTCAGATATAGGCAATCTATTTGTCTATGAAAATTTTCTTGTTAATGAAGGAATAAAAAACAGTGGTTTCTTTTATTTTTGTAATAATACCTTCAAAAAACTAATTCGTTATTTCTTTCTCAAATCTCATTTTTCTTGGTGAGCAGTTTGATACCTTTTCTAAGTGGAAGGTGTTATCTTGGAATCTAGTTTCCAATCATTTTCTTTCTGTTGCCCGCTTGGTATCTTAAGTCCTTGAATAAAACTGTTCAGTTCAAGGTAATTACTTAAGAATCGAATTTTGTATCATATTTTTAGTAGTAAGGCCACTGGTGCATTGAAAATTATCGACAGTTTTCCTAAAATTTGCAACAATGCAAGTTTGCTGTGAAGAATCATTAATTTAGTCAGCAGCTCCGCTTTAAAAGCTTTGATTGAAATATTTGCCAGTTGTAGCTAAAATGGCACGATTTGGAAATAAATTTGAATATTGAGAAATTTACTCCAATGAACAGATAGAAATCTGAAGAAATTACTGTAGAAGCAATTCGAAGAGTTTTGTATCATAAGAGATCTTTTTTTGAATCTACCAGTTCTGTAGAGAAAATTGCTTGTATTTTAAAAGCTTAGGCGGGCAATATGCGAAAACAATACGGATCGTTTCAATAAGAAGTAATAATAATGTCCAACCTGACAAATAAACTTATAGAAAGACAACGAAGACTTTGGAATTGTGATAGATCCATTTAATGACGTAAGGTTCAATTGGCAAGACTGCTGCACATAAAACGTTGCAAAAAGTAAAATAAATTTTCATGTCGGTGAAATGGCTTTCACAAAGGAGGAAATTTTTCACGATATATCCTACTAGCTGAAGGAAAATTCCAGGATAGCGCGAGTAGTTACAGATTTGGATACAATTCCAAATATGCCGAGAAAGAAGCTGCAAAATTGATAGTAATTGTTTTAAGGACAGTACTAATATACAATGATTTTTTGAGTTGGTCTTCCCTCACCTGTGTACCTGGGCGCTGCCAGTAACAGAATTACCTTAAATCTAAAAAATACAAGTTAATTTTCTTCTCTTATAAAAAAGTATGTTGTTTCTATTTTTGTAAATAAAAATATTTGTTAAATTCGTTATTGGTATCAAAATTTAGATGAATTTTGATACCAGTTGATTATTATTTATTAAAATAATATAACAATTTGTATTAATATACACTAATGTACATTAAGCACATATTAATATACACATTGTACATTAATACATACCATAATGCCATGGTACAAACTAGAAAAGGCAGGCATATACATATTTTATGTATCGGACTGCCAATGGTAATGGGCTTGAAGCTTGTCGTCTGTACGCTAATCGTTCAATTCTTTCTGCTTGAAAGAGAAAACTCTAGAACTATAGGCGGATTACGGATCATATTTGGGGAATATTTATGGAACAGATACTGTACCCCTATCACATCCAACGTTTTTAAGCACTCAACCCACCAGACTGATATGTCAAATTAACAATTTATGAAACTATTTTGAGGGAATGCACTAATTTATCTTAATTTAAATAAGTTGGGACGGAATTTAATTTTTATAACGTGCAAGTTTGGGTTAACTAGAATCCACATGCTGAAATTGAAGCTAAACTACAACAACACTTTAGTTTAAATGCCTGGATCCATGTCTCCCAAAGTGCACAGGTTAATTGAGCCTAATGAGTTAAATGCTGCTCCATGTCTACAATGTTTAAGTGAGGTCGCAACAGAATACCTACTGCAAAACAGTTAGGGCCCTAATACTTGACAGGGCACGTATTTCGTTATTAATATACAGGGTGACATAGAAAAAAGTACATTGAATAGTGCCACACAATAGAGGACACTAAAATAAGAAAAAAAGTTCCTATGAACATGGGTCTGCAAGGCCTTTGGTTAAAAGAATTGTGTTGAACGTTATTTTGATATTTGGTGTTGAATTTTATTTTTGTTTGGGTTTTTTTTTTAATATCTTTAGCCAGAGACGCAAAAAATTGATAAAATGTGGTATACAGGGGTTTTTTATCATGCTAAATTCAAATATGATCTTAGTTTTGTGATTACTGATAGAGGGCGCTACATAACAGGGTTCCATATCTATTGAATCGGTTCTAATTTTTTTGCTATACACTGTATGTCATTTTCGACAGAAAAAAATTTGTTATCCCTTCTTTATACATAAGAAAGGTATATCTTGTCCAAGTCGCTAGAAGCAATGGTTCCAGTACAAAAGCCGACAATGCACGCAAATTATTCAAAAAGCGCCAAAGTAACATTTGCAAAAACAATGATAAATTACAATTAAATAATGTGTCATAATGACACTTGTTAAACTAATATAATAATTGTTAGAGGTATTTTGTGTTCTTGATTAAGTTCATTGTTTTTGCAAATAAAAAAAAATTAAAATTCAACACCCCGTATCCTTTAACCGAAGGCCTTGCGGACCCATGTTCATAGGAACTTTTTTTCTTGTTTTAGTGTCCTCTATTGTATGACACTATGCAATGTACTTTTTTCTATGTCACCCTGTATATGCATCCTATAGAAAAGAGATAAGAGGATATATTTTAATTTACCTTGATATTTCAGAAAATGCTACTATTTCCTTCCAAAATCTCAGGAGCGTAGAAGTCTTGCTCAAAAGAAGCGACAATACCACTGGATCTTCTTCCCTGAATTATATACCTTACACCAAAATGCAGGGTGTTAGAAGTTTGACTGCCTTAATTTTAACAGATTATAGAATACATTAAAATAAACAAAAAAAAACTAAAAGAAGGCGGGCCCAAAACCAAACAATTCCCAAAAAAAAATAACCAAAACCCCAAACTGAAGGAACAATAAATAAAGAAAAATGAAAAAAACGCAAGCAAGGAAAAACAAAAAAAAAAAAGGTTAAAAACTTTTTGAAACTCCTTAAGCTTAAATTCAAAAAAAATAGCATTGTAATAAAGTTAAAATTCGATAAAATTCATATCGAGCGATGTGACAACGGCGCGGCGGTTTATTAACACGAGGTACTAAGGTGTCCAGCAACCACCAATACGCAGTTCAGTTGATATCTGGATTCGACCGTGTCGGAGTGTTTTTTCCGTACCACTATTTCCTTTTCTTGAGGTGTTTTCCAACCAGTGCGCGAAAATTCGATTCGAAAGTGTCGTGCGTACATTGAAAAAGGTGGTGGACATTTTGAACATAGGTTGTAGTTTGATTTATATTTGTGCGTTTAAAAACTACTGAATTTTGCTTTTTAGCAAGGACCTAAATTATTTTTAATATGTATGATTATTTGAACGATGTGAATCTCTGGGTACTTTAATTACATATTTTTCAAATACGTAATTTGATTGAAAGTTAAGTTCCTATTTTAAGAGATTCATAGTTACTACTAAAATTCGAGCTAAAATTTAAGCACAACACTATCTTCGTACTATAAAATCGATACATTTTATTATATTTATTTAAAAACTGGAAAACAATTGTCTTGAAATTTACTAAATGTTTGACAATAACAGCTGTTTACATTTTTTCCATAGGACAAGTCTGCCGCGTATACACGTAGTGTGCATCAGCAGGTTAAGCGCTGTTGTCACGTTGTGATGAAACTCCCCAATATTAATATCGCTGTATTTTGAAAACTGTTAATCTTACGCCCCTGTAATATACAACTTTTTTGTTCATTTACGATTACTCTATCTCATGCTGAAGTATTGGCAGCCAAACTTCTTACACCCTGTATAAACAAAAACATATTTAGTCTATTAAGGGGGCGTTTATATGCGCAATCTTTTGTCCAGTTTTTCAGAAAATCTAAGCAAGTTAGAAACATATCCCTTCACTATACCAGTTATACAAGTGTTCTTCAGGGTATAAGACAACTGACAATATTTCAAATTAAGGAAAGAAAAGCATATTTTTACCTCATCTGTTTATCTTACGTTTTATGCACCTGTTGAACATACAGTACTACAAACATAATCACACTCAGCAGAATGCTTTTAGGAAACTATTAATACATGCATTAATCACAATTATTGAGTATCTTTACAAATTTGCTGGACAAAACAGGAAAGGTACATATTCTGATGTTTGCATGTTCTCCGTGATCTGTCAATGAGAAAAATTAAGAAAGTTTTGAGTTACACTTCGTCACGTCCTGTATGGATCTACTTGTTCTATCATTGTCTTACTAAAGGTGCGATTTCTTGTCTATAAAACGACAGTCTTAAAACAATGACCCTCTATCTCAGAGACAAAACTTTTCTGGATATAAGTATGTTCACATGCACCTATTTCTTATTTTTGGAGTATGTATACTTTACTTTTACTTTTTTCACTTATTATTGAAAAACTGCACACTTTTATTATACAGCGAATTATTTAGGATGCAATAGCAACATTGTTACAGTCTGACAAGACTTATTTCTCTCATCAACATACGTAAAAAAAAACAAGAGCAACACTTCTCCCTAATACGATTCCTTCAAAGATTGGCCGTGAAACAGTTTTTAATCAATTACTTAAAAACGATGTGACTTAAAATTTCCTATAAAACCAATTTTGTCATAGTAGCTGTATACATGATTTTGAACAAAAATTAACCAATACTGTAAGAGTTAAGAATTTTAACTGCAAAGGAAGTTATCTAACGTTGAATAAACTCAACTTTTTCTGATTTGGATATACCATTTTCAAATAAAACTTAAGTATTCATTTTATTTGTATATCACCCTACTAATGTCAGGAGCAATTTTAGCAGGGGAGCATAAGTGAAAATCAGTACAATTAAAAAGTTTTTAATATAGGACTTTTTTTAGATTTAAATAAAACAAACACAGTATTACTCTAACTTTCTTTTATTAATTTTTTCAACATATAAATTACTGAACAACTTTATAAATAGTTTAATAATTTTTAAAGAAATTAATATTATAGCAATTGCTATTGAAACTATGAAAGCTATAACATCCACTAGATAGTACTGATAAAGAGGTAAGTCAACTGCAGGGTTCCTCAAGTGCTTTGCTCCTTTGTTTCTAATTATATGCTCAGTCCACCATACGGATTTCTGAAGTCCTGTCATAGGTTGATCTTGCATCAAACGGGCTAGTTCCTTTATCGACGCTTTGTATCTGTGGAAAATAACAATTTCAAACCCTACCTGTGTATAGTAATAGTTAATTTTAGAATGTTTTTGGTATTGGACATTTAATCTTCGTTTTAGAATTTTTAATTTTAGTTCTATGAATAAGTAATGATTTCTCTAACTAAACGCTTGTAAAATATCAATTTTATGTTATATAGAGAAAAATAATATTATTTTGAACCAGTTCAAAGGCATTAACTTGTAAATTATTTATGTGGATGTATGTAAAATGCTTGGTCAAAAGAAAACGTTCTTATAAACAAACAAAAAGTCATAGGAAGTAGTAATTTCAAGATTATTTTCTTTTATTTATAGATAAAATGAATACCTACTTATTTTAAAATATATAAAAAAACATTTTGGTTACACCTTGGTTTGTAAATTTTAACTATTATTCTCTTTTATATGACTTATTAATGGGGCTTATTAATGGGACGCCCTATGAATTAAGACTACATTACTTTATTAATACAAACATGGATTCATCTATTTCTTTGAAGGGTAAATTTATACTTAAAAATTGATATAATAAATTCCCAACGTGACTTGAGCGACAGATTTAATCTAAAATCTGTCAATCTAGATGATAAAGTATTCAGTGGAGCGAAGTAAACAAAACAGTTGCATTATGCTGGACTTTTTAACATAATCTTACTTTGGATTGTTAATGAGTTCAAGGATTGCACTCTTCAATTCTTCTTTCTTTAATACTGGTTTGCGATTAATAAATTTGCCAAATCCTTTGTATTCGACTATACGAGCGTTTTTCAACTGATCTCCATAAAATGGTACAACAATCAAAGGTACGTGGGTATAAATGGCTTCTTCCATAGACTGAATTCCTCCTTGACTGATGAAGAGTTTTATATTTGGGTGCCCTGTAATCATATTTCGTACCTTTAACTTTTTTAATAATAAAAATAATAATATGAATTAGAAAAACCAGTTTTCTCATTTTGAAAATACATTAGTACAAAAAGTACAAATACAAAAATAATCGAACGGAAAAAAAACATCCAGTAAGATTTCATACTTCAAACAGTTTTTATAATATTCAGTAAGTATATAGTACCTAAATTTCTGGCATCCAACAACATTATTTTATCGGGTATCCCAAAATTGACGCAAGTATTGATTCATTTGTGTGGTAAACTGTTGCCAATGAAAAAAAAAGACAAAGTGACAGCTGACAGTTCAGGATTATTAAAAATGGAGCTGTACACGAAAGAACAACGCTTTTTTATTGTTGAACAATATTTTAAAAATAAGGTTTGACAGCTACAGTTCATAATTTTTGTACAAAAATAGTCCGAATAGCGATTTAATTTCATCAACTGTGAGGAGACTAATTGCAAAATTTAGAGAGACTGGATCAATTAGTGAACTTAAACACTTTGACCGTCCTTCAAGAAGTCGTTCAATGCAATACGTCAAAGCAGTTCATGAGAATGTTGCTGAGAGTCGAGGAACATTCAGCACAGTGGTCAAGAATTGAACATTTCGAGAAACTCTCTATAACTTATTTTCACGAAAGATTTTCATCTTCATGTTTACAAAGTTCAATTGATTCAAGAACTGAAGTCTACTGACTACACAAAGTGAATAGAGTTCATTGAATGGATTATGGAACAAATGGATGCTGATTTTTGGAACAAAATAATCTTCAGCGATGGCTTCGTTAATTGACAAAATTGTCGCATTTGGGGTTCAGAAAATTCGTGAAGATTTTGGGCTCGAGACACCATCAGACCATTCATTCTTCTTCGAAAATGCGGCCGGTTATGCAATAATAGTTAATGGTGCTCGCTATTGTAATATGATAATCCAGTTTTTGTGCCTAAATTGCAAGAAATAGATGTAGATGACAGGTATATAGTTTCAATAAGACGGTGCCACATGCCTGGATTCTGAAATAATTTGGAGGGTAACTGTAACTCTGTATACTTCATTACAGCACTTAGTCCCCATTGGACCCCTTGTGCATCCCCCCAGTAAGATATCAGCTCTCCTGAGCCGCCAACCAATCTATCAAACAGAAAAAGGTGATGCCGTTACTCTGGAGGATCTCCCTAATGTAGGCCATTGTAACAAAAGCCGGGACGCGTGGTAGTTTATTTGTTAGTTTTCGGAACGGAGTGGCTAACTCAGACAGTAAAATATTTAAGTCAACACTAATTATTGAAAAGTTAAGTTTAAGTTAAGTTTTCAAGTAGGTTTAGCGTCGCTATAAAGTCGTCGGGTGTAATAAATTCGCAAAATCGTCCTTCGGAGAAGACCTAATGAAACTTAACAATGTTTTTGAACTAGTTGTAGACCGTCGGGGCCATGGTGAAGGGAAAAATCGATATTTCTAATAACGCGCAAAATGTATCCGAAAAGACGTAGGAATTCCAAGGTATTTAAATAAGTTAATTATTTATTCAATTGTAAATTCAGTCAATTAAGTAACCATNAATGTTTTTGAACTAGTTGTAGACCGTCGGGGCCATGTGTTGGGCCATCTGTTAGCGACGGTTTAGCCCATGGTGAAGGGAAAAATCGATATTTCTAATAACGCGCGAAATGCATCCGAAAAGACGTAGGAATTCCAAGGTATTTAAATAAGTTGTTAGAATGCTGTGAGGAAAATAATAATAGATCAATCTACTGGTTTTTAGGCGGATTTTCCAAGCTATAAGAATAGATTAAATGAGATTGACTAATCCGTCCCGTGTTGCTATACGGAGTCATGAGAACAAGATGTAGGCCGGGCTACTCGTAAGTTCAGTTTAGTCACAAAATTATTTATTCAATTGTAAATTCAGTCAATTAAGTAACTATTAACATGGTATAGTTATGTCAAAGCGTCTCGATATTCAGAGATCCTACCAATAAGATACGAGCAGAAATTTTTGGACCCAAGAAACAGGCGTGTCAAAGCGAAGTGTCGAATACAGAAGAGATCTCCGAAAAAAGGCAGTTTCTCCTTGGGTTCCACATTGAGCATTCTACTTAGTTTTAGAGTCTCGGATAATTTAATAATAGATAAAGTCTATCCAAATTTTGCTATGGATCTCGCATTCCCTGAAACTCGGTACGCTGTCGTGTGTAAATGAATCAATAATGTTTGTTCGAGTCTGTTGTGTTACCGTTGTTTTGTTTGTTTTGTTTTTATTTTTATTAAAATCTTTCCTGGAAAGTTTTGGTTTTTTCTTGTTCTTCCAACTTATTTTGTCTCCCTATACAACCAACCATTGGATTACATTCTACCTGAGTCGAGTGATGTACGGTAAGTGTCTGAAATAGGCCCATTCAGTAGATTTTTTTGCATATTCCAAAAGTGTACCTTTTAATTAGTTAGTATGCCAAAAATCAATTTTTTGTTTCAACGAGAAATGTGTGAAATAAATTAATGAAAACAGAGCGCGGAAAAACGTTGAGCAACCATTGCCTGACGTCATAATACCGGTACGGGCGACTGGCAGAGCACTCCGCTCGCGCTCGCACTCGCTCTCATCCCATTCTATGTTAATACATACGGTGTGTGGTTCGCTTGGCAGTTTCGTTAATCATTGTTTTTATGTCTAAATGGGTCGAAACCGAAGATTGTACAAATATTGTATAGTTCCAGGCTGCAAAAGTACCTCAAGATCGACTCCGAATAAAATATTTATTTCATTACCGAAAAATTAAAAGTTTGTGTGATGTTATCCAGGGTTTCCCCAGCCGCGGTATGCAACTCAAAACCACCTTCGTTTTTCTTTGGTTGCATGTCTAGGGGGTTGTAAAATATTATTATTTGAACATTTAGAGCACAATTTTCAACTTTATGCCGGAAAAAAATTCTACCCCATCTAAATGTTCGTATTCACAAAAAATTCTAAATACGTCGGCGAGAGGGACCTATAAACAGTTAAGAACCACTCTCGTTTTTCTTTGATTGCCCGTCTAGGGGGTTGTAAATATTATTATTTGAACATTTAGAGCAGAATTTTAAAATTTATGCCGAAAAAAAAATTTCTACCCCATCTAAACGTATCCGTTCACAAACATTTCGAAATACTTCGGCGAGATGGACCTATAAACAACTCAGAACCACCCTCGTTTTTCTTTGGTTGACATTTTCAAATTTATGCCGAAAATAAAAAAAAAATCGACCCCATCTAAACGTACCCGTTCACAAAAATTTCGAAATACGTGGGCGAGATGGACCTATAAGCAACTCAGAACCATCCTCGTTTTTCTTTGGTTGACATTTCCAAATTTATGCCGAAAATAGAAAAAAATCTACCCCATCTAAACGTTCCCGCCCACAAAAATTTCGAAATACGTGGCGAGAAGAACCTATAAGCAATTTACTTAAATAATAATATTTTACAACCCCCTGGACGGGTAACCAAAGAGAAACGAGGGCGGTGCTGAGTTGCTCATATACTAGTCAAAGTACTACTGGCACATACACGTCGTCGCAGACATCCACAAGTACCGAGTCTAGTACGTTGGGTACATTTATGGTACAACATTGGAACGCAAAAGAAAATGTAGAAAAGCGAACCATTTACGTCATTGAGAAAAATCCGAAAATATATTTAGGTATTCCAAGTCATTCCAAGTTTATAATAAATATGTTGTATGAAAAATACATTTCAACAAGACTTGATGTATACCTCTTATACATTTAAAAATATAGGTATATAATGTAGGTAAAAGTATAGCAAATATCTACACATCTCTTCAACTGCTAGCGACTTGATCGCCGAGTGGCCGGTATCATGACGTCATTACCTGTTCTCCCGCAGTGTTGACCGTTTTAAGGGTCTTACAAATTCAAAATTAAATATATAACTTATTATTAATCCTATTGACCTAATTATTTTAAGATGTATTTAGGTGGTTAAATACTATCAGAAAATGAAAGAAAAAGTTTAAAATTATGTATCACTGAATGGGCCTATTCATTCTCTAAACGTACAACATTTCTAAGTTCCCACGTATTAATTAAAGTGATAATTATAAACTCCCTTTCGAGAACTAAATGGTAAACTCTTTTGCAAGTCACATCCTACATTTGGTTTAACATCAACATTGTTGAAGCGAAGCATAGTTGTCGGAGCCACCTCCTTTAAATAAATATCTAAGGGTGACAGGCATGGCATCATCTCCATCGCTAACGGTGTTGTTCGTATAGCTCCTGTGACGCTCAGGAAAGCTATTCTTTGCACCTGGCTGAGCTTCTGTTTAGCTGCTGTCTGTTGGGTTTTTGGCCACCGGACAACAGCTAGCTCTGTATGTCATGAGATATGGGTCATGGTTATTGTATATTAATTTTTCAATGTACAAATTATGAGAAACAGAAAAGTCTGATCCAAGCAATAATTAGAGATATGCCAAATCGGTGTAAACCTGATATATGAATATTCAATTTCAAATAACAGTACGGAGAATGTAAAATATATTTTACAATATATGAGAAAATACAGTTTTGCTAACAGGAAATAGAAGTACAAACAGCAAGTGATCGTAAATTTTATCAATAAATTGGTGATTAGAAAAACTGCTTATACATACTATAAATAGTTCTGTTTTACAAATAGTACAATAATATTTTTATCAGTTGTGTATTTCTTCAATATTACTGTTTTATTCTACACACTAACTTCCCTTTCTATCAAAATTACTTCCGTGAATTTTAGGGCACCCTTTATTTAATTTTTTTTTAATTTTTTCAGAATTTGTTTCAATTAGCTTAACATCTTTAAAATAGAGTTAGAGATTATTGTAGTGTTCCTTCAGAAATCACTAATTTATAAATATTTTATATCTACCTTCCGAAGGCAGCAGTCGGAAAGCAATAATTTTTGAAAATGTACGTTATGATACAACTGGTATCACGCTGGTCATTAATTATATTCATAATATTTTTTCCCTTTTGTCAACAGCCATATATTATAGAATCCTGCAACCTTGTGACTGTCAGCTTTAAAGAACATTTTTAATAAAAAGTAATTGCAGCATTACGGGCATGCACAAGACGATAAATGGATCATATAACTGTTTGCTGAAGATCTAATTGGTTTTCGACCCTGTTGTATCATAAAATACTTTACGCTGCTTGTTATTTGATACCTTGAGATGTTTTACTTGCTTCTGTGAGCAGTTCCCCGAACAAAGCAGTGATATTCGAGTACTTACTCAAGATATCCTGTTGTGGCGCCCATTTAATGAGTTTTATGTTTTCCGGTTTTCCAGGTAACTCATCAGCCTCGAATTTCCACAGCACTTTATAAGGCAATTCCTTTAATGTTTCGATAATATTTGTCATCGTTTGGCCCCTCAAGTCTTTGCTTTTAACATTTCCACCCAAACTGAAATAAATGAATCCTTCCTTGGCGTCATCTAAGAAATCTTTCAGTTCCTATGAATTGAAAATATCGTGTTGATGATCGTTTGTTTTTATTACTGCATGAATCGACGGTTTGCGTCAGGAATAAGTAAATATTCATATTCATAGTACATAATAATTGTAAAATCATTGCAAATGAGAAGAACGCCATGTTTAAAACATTATTTCTGTGATTATACTACAAAGACAAGCAGTAATGTATATTCTACTACTGTTTTCCAGATATATGGACTTATTACTTTATAACTACCTTTTTCAATTCTTATCTTATCTTTCCTTTAAGAAAACTTTACAACTAGATTCTACGACGAAACTTAATGAGAAAAGGTCATATACAATGTCGCTCATAAACGCTCAATTTTCAAGATACAGGGTGTCGACTTGAAGAAATAAAAACTATTTTCAGGCATATCTCGGAAATACGTTAAGGGATTTTTTTCTAATTTGATATGAGGAGTTTTAACGAGGACATACACCATTTGTTGCGATTTCACGTACAAAAAACCAGTGACGTGCAAACTATATTTTCGAGAACCTTTTATAAAAAATAAATGTTATGCCACTGTGTAAAGCGGAAATAAATAACATCTTTCAAATTTTCAATGATTTTTCAGCATAAAATTTATACTCATTGAATATAGCCAAGGAGCACCGTTTTTGAAAAAGCTGCGTTTAAATTCGGCAAGAAAGTGCAGTTCGTGGATAACGTAATTTCGTAACTTTGAGACTTATTTATCTAGTAGGTAAATGTCATTAACACAATGTCACTTCCAATATATAGAATACAAAATATGTTTGATTTTTAAGTTCAAGTAAATTGTTCTTGCACAATGACACGGCATAATTTATTTACAAATAGTGAAATGACAGATATGGTCGCAGTTTATGATCAAGAAAATTTTAATGAACGCGCCGCAACAAGGCAGTACGCAGATATTTATCCTAATTGAAGACAGCCCTACCGAAAATTGTTCTCTAGATTATTTGCAAGATTAAAAGAAGGCGGTAAATAAAAAAAAAGGGTAATCTTTGTAGTCCTACAATGCAAATTATTATTATTGTGCAAGAAGAACAGGTACTAAATTTGGTAGAAGGTGATCCAACAACGAGTATCCATCGAATTTCCTCTAACGTAAGATAACCTTACATAGGTAAAAGTGCATTTTCCACTATACTTACTTCATAAACAACAACTGTACCCATACTATTACACACCAGGGCATAATTTAATTGCCCAATGATTTTTTACCAAGAAGAAATTTTTGTCAATTCATCTTACGGAAAAATGCAGAAGATCCCTCTTTTATAAATAAATTTTTATTTACTGATGAGGCGACGTTTACCCTTAAGGGCATATTTAATAAAAAAAAAATGGTCATATGTGTGGGCCGAAGAAAATCCAAATGAAAACACTGTACAACACTTTCAGCATGAGTTTAAGTTCAATATTTGGTTCAGAATAATTGACGATCATCTTGGGCCCTTTGACCTCCAGTATCTTTAAACGGACAAAATTATCTGCGCTTTCTACAGTATAATTTAATTGCACTATTAGAAGAAATTCCTTTGAACATTAGAGCTCACTTGTGGTATTTACATGATGGTGCCTCTGCTCATTATCCTCTAATAGTAAGAAACCATTTCGATAACATATTTCCTCATTGATGGATAAGAAGAGGAAGTAAACACCCATGGCCTCAACGTAGTCCGGATCTAAATCCGCTTGATTTTTTTCTGGGGTTTCTGGGGCCATGATTTATAGTGCTGCCTTCCTCAACAATAGAAGTGAATTGTGGCACAGAACAGTTGCAGCTGCTATAAGAAACAGAAATTTCTTAAAAAGATGTCGAAGATGTCTTCACTCAAATGGGGAGCATTTCGAAAAATAATCTTAAATTAATGTGTAATCAATGTTTTTCTTAGTTCTTTTTGGTATATTTTATGAATGATTTATGTTACACAAAAAACGTTTATATTTTTGTTTTAATTTTCTTAATGGTTGATATTGTGTTTTACAACTGTAATACCTGAAATATCATACGTAAACAGTATGTTGTAAAATATTAAAATATTTTAATGTTCGTTAATTATCAAAAAAATATGTTTCTATAACACAAGTTGGCAGTTAATGAAGTTATGTTATCCACGAACTGCACTTCCTTGCCGACTTTATTATTATTATTATTTCTGCTTTACGCAGTGGCGTAACAATCATTTTTTAGAAAAGAGTCTCAAAAATATAGTTTGCACGCTACTGGTTATTTGTATTGACATGAAATCGCAGCAAATGATGTAGGTCTCCGTTAATGCTCCTCATATCAAATTATAAAAGAATCCCTTAACGTATACCGAAATGTGTCCAAATATCGTTTTTATTTTTTCGACTTCAACACCCTGTATATCGAAAACTAAGCGTTTATGAGCAACATTGTGTATGACTTTTCCCCAATAATTTTCGTCGTAGTATCTAGTGGTATCTATACAGGGTGTACCGAAATTAATGGGACACAGAGCAAAAGTAGATTCCTTACATCAAAATAATGCGATTAAGCCAAACTTACCTTGGTCCATTTGTGGCTAATAAAAAAGTCACAGGGCGTTAAAGTTGAAATTTTGAATTCGAAATTCAGGATTCTTTTGAAAATTTGGATTAGGAAGTTTTCTGGGACGAGAAAAACGAATCCGTACTTAATTTTGCTGTAGACGCTAGAGGACGCTACGAAATGTACTCTTGGTTGATAAAAACTGGTTATAACTTTTTTATCAGTGTGTGTACGAAAGTTTTAATAGAAAAATATTGTTCTCCTATCTATTTTTCACAAATAAGGGATACTTGTTTTATGTCGATAAATTTAACTGTTTTCGATTTATTTCTTGTTTTTCTATTGGATGCAATAAAATAAAGTAAAATAAAAATTTGTAGTTACTTACGTAAAAGACTAAAGATTATTTTTAATAATAATTTAATTACATTCAGGTGGCTACATTAAATTTTTATAATTAAAAAAATATTCCTTTCACTTTTTTCTTTTTTTCGTTATTTAACATTTTTTGATGAAAAAGATTAGATTTTTACGAAAAAAAACACATTTTCAATTTAAAACAATCAGTAAAAGATACAACATTTATCCTGTAATCAATTAGCAGAAGTGACCACTTCAGTAGTTCAGTAGTTTTAATAAATTATGTATTTTATTTTATTGCATCCAATAGAAAAACAAGAAATAAATCGAAAACGGTTAAATTTATCGACATAAAACAAGTATCCCTTATTTGTGAAAAATAGATAGGAGAACAATATTTTTCTATTAAAACTTTCGTACACACACTGATAAAAAAGTTATAACCAGTTTTTATCAACCAAGAGTACATTTCGTAGCGGCCTCTAGCGTCTACAGCAAAATTAAGTACGGATTCGTTTTTCTCGTCCCAGAAAACCCCCTAATTCAAATTTTCAAAAGAATCCTTGGAAAACTTTCTAAGAATTTCGAATTCAAAATTTGAATTTTAACGCCCTGTAACTTTTTTATTAGCCACAAATGGACGAAGGTAAGTTTGGCATAATCGCATTATTTTGATATAAGGAATCTACCCTTGCTCTGTGTCCCATTAATTTTGGGACACCCTGTGTATTAGCTTTTATACTTTTACTTTATTTTAAAAGTAGATATTAAGGCTAATTCGAATAAATAAAATAAAATGTTCTTAAAATCCTATTAAATGAAATCAAACCTGGGTAGTCTATCAGGTTAAAATCTTGTTACATAGTACCTACGTAGTACCAAACAACATTATTGAACCTCATTTGATAAGATTATTAGGAAAATGTTTTATTTTTTTTTGAATTAGCTTAATATACCTTTAAAATAAAATAAAAGTAGAGGAGCTTATAATAAAACACATATTAAAAAAAAAAGATGTGATACAGATATAATATATTGTTGGAGTAATAATTAACAGAAATGTTTATAAATGCTCATGCCAAATAACTGGAACTAAGAGCGTCCTTAATCAAAAATATGTATATACACATGTATATCGAGGGTTTCCTGCCAAAAGGACGTATCCACAAAAAGTGCCATTTTGGGTTTATGAGCTAACTTTGATACCCAATACCATAAGTTTGTCACGACAAAAGGTCGTATCTACCATACCAATAATAACAGCGCCACGCAATACTTTTCTTAGTCGTATCAACAATTATTACCTCGATTAACCTGGCAGAAGGTTGTATGTACATAGGTTGATACGCCCTTCTGGCAGGAAACCCTCGATATGTATACAGGGTGATTCGGAACTTACTCAAAAAAAATAATAATTTAAAAATACTCTTCTGCACTGCACTGAAAACTGGCCTTTCCTAAGAAAAACAATAAATAAAATTTTATAACACCAATTTTATATCATCAAATTCAACTGCTTTTGCTGCTATTGTTATTATTAATTAATAAAATTAATTTGTAGTATTTCGAAATTTTGTCCACCGACGTGTAAACACATTTGGGCCCGTCTTACCAAGTTTCTACGAACTATCACAAATGTTTTGCTTCACCATAACACGAATATTGTCGTGCCATAAATTAAAACGATATCCATCAACTCCGAGTTGCTATACACATAAGCCATTTTTCACACTTGAAAAACTAATGTAAACACTATCGCAAAAACGTTAATACTTAAATCTGAATAGAGACTACAGTAGCCCAGCGATGTCAAAGTTGAAAATACTACAACTTCAATAATTTTTTTCTCAGGAACTATAAGGATTTTACAATTTTTTTTATGATATTGATTCCATTTTTCATGACGCATCTATTCCCAATTTTTTTTGGATAAGTCACCCTGTATATATTGACAAGGAATTTCTTACAAATCAAAGTGCCAGTAACCCTGATAACTATTGTGTCAAAAGTTATCAACTGTAATCATATAAGCAAAACTATTAATGATAGTATTTACGACATGCCTATATTCAGCAATAAAATAATAAAAATATCGGTGTAGTCCATTAA